ATCGGTCTTTCGAATTATATTTTATTTATTTTGTCTGTTTTATCTTCAAACTACTATAAAAATGATATTAAATATGAAGATTAAAAAGTAGTTTGCTTGTACAATACAGTGGTTGTCGATCATGAAGGGTTAAAAGTGTATCTCATTAATAAAAAAAAAATTAATCTACAGAGTCATATAAGATATATACTTATATAGTTAAATGACTCTGTAGATTTTTTAGTAACAGCAGTATTTAGTCCAATCATTTTCCAATTCTATTCGGGAAATTAGTAATGCGGTAGTTTTCTCATTTCCTATCCATGCCGTAACTATACTCATACGATTGCTCTTAACATAAAATAAATAAAATATCATACTTTTTTTGTTGCTATAAACAAATGGTTAATATATAATTCAGAAACTAGGTAAATCTTCAAATTTTAACTAATTATTATTACTAACTTACATAAATTTAACTTATATATCATCGTGGTTAACACAAATTCTAAGGAAGAGCATCAGTTCTCGGTGCTCTCATTAAAAGATTAATTCTTAAATTATATTTTCTTGTTGCTATAAAAAATAATGTAATTATAAATTGTAAGTAATGATAATATAATATATCTTTTTAATTTGTACAATATTTCTAAACCACCTTGCCTATTTTGCTATCAATTAGCTTTCAGGGTATATTTGTATATTAAGTTTTATTTCTTTGCTTTCATCGATTAGATGCACTCTTTTGAAAAATGCATTGTAATAACCAGATTTTATTATGAATAAGTTTTTTTATTTATTTGACAGCCATTTTTTTAGTTACTTTCTTCGAGGGGTGTAACCCATTGGTTAGCCACTATTCTTTGATATCCACTATTACTATTAGATATAAATATCTGGAAATGTTGGTTCATATGTGATGCAGCTTTATATTCTACTTAAGATCTATAACCTCAAGTGAAAATTTGACGTCATACCGCTTGATATCGAGCTTGGCCAAGGTTGGTATAAGGCCTAAGACTAGATTGTTCTGATTTGATTCCTAAATTTTAAATATCACTTCATTGTTAAATGAAACCGAACTTCATTTTGGTCAAACCTCCTGGAAATTGGAATGCCGAGAAAAAATCTGATTCTTTTATAGTGGACTTTGTGTTCTATAATTCATATGTAAATTAGATTATTCTAGACTATTCTTTTGAATGTATGGCTTTACCATATTATTTTCTTAAATATTATTAAAGAATAGAACATCATATGTTTCCATACATATGTTTTTATATATAGATGTATATAGGGGCCGGTTCCTTATACATTCTAAACTTGCCAGGTAAAAATTTGACCAACCTAACTTTGTCATAACAATTAGTTTCTTTAGTAGTAGCGAAACATGATACAAATGATATTCTGCTCTTTTAAAAACAAATGTTTTATCACTATCGATTACAAATTTTCCTTTCATTAAAAATATTTAATTATAATCTATAGGCATTAATATGCTAATGCTTATTGAAAGTTAAATTGATTTGATAATTTTGAAGAATTATATTATTCCTAAAAAGGGAGGGGGAATAGTAGTAATGAGATGAAGGGTAAGGGAATCATTTATTTGTGGTGGCTCTCACACCATGGACCTGCCTTCGGACAGACTACCATTTATTATTATTATTATATTATTCCTAAAAGCAAACTAAATCTTTTTTATGCAAATAATATTTTTTATACAAGACGAGCATTACATTTATATATTTGCTACAACAATTACATTTATATGTGTGTTTGATTTTATTTTTTTGAGTTTGTTTATTACACATTTTGCAATTAGTTACTGGATGCCTTTGTAAAGTTTGAGAAACGGTCACTGTCTAGACTGACTTGCAATTTAAAAATACTTCCTTTTAAATTTAATTAATACCTGGATATGTAAGTACCGGTAACTCGCAGCACCCTATACTAATGATCTATATGCTACTAAACATTTATATATGAAACATATATTTTCATTGTATTTTTTGTTAGTTAATTGGTAAATAATAATTGATTTGTAAATTAAAATCAAAATATGCGAAAATAATACACAAGTATTGTGCTTAATAAAAAGTATGCTGATTTTATTTTACATACTAACTACAAAGACCTGCAAATGTACATTCAACTAGATTAAAGTAATATAGTTTTTATTTAATTTCCAATAATAGTTAGTTATTGTCTCAAATAAGACATTTCAATTATTATAAAATCTTTAAACAAATTCTATTAATAATTTAAATGAACAGACATAAGAGAAAAGAAATATTTATAAGAAAATTGATGAAATAGTATTCAATGGATTTCTAATTGGATTAATCAAGTTTGTTATGAAACACACTTATTATTAGAATTAAATTTGCATCAAATTTATTTACTATATAAGCATAATTATTAATACAAATGCAATACTATAATATAATAAAATATTATTATATATTTATAGAATAGATTGTCCATGATAACAATGTGTATATAACTAAATTAGTAGCCTTCTGGTCAATTCCTACATGTAGATATTCGGTAATTGAAATATTATTTAAATTATTTAAAAAATATTTAATATATATGAATATATAATAACATTTATGTATACATTGTAAGTCCAGTTCATAGTTTATTAGCTATAACAATACCCCAATAAAATTTGTTTAATGATACCTTCATATTATATCTTTATTCATAGAAATTAATTTTACTTGTAAAATATTTAATTTGAAATCAGATTGTTCCCTTTTGTTAATCTACATAGTTCTTAATAAATAAAAACAATATTTTTGTACAAATATATACTATCTTGTAAACATATATACGTCCAGTTCGTAGTATATTAGTTATTATTAATACCTGAATAAAATCTTTTTATTGGTACATGCGTATTTTATTTATACATTAATGAATTTTGTTATATGGTGACTGAAATTAATTAAAAATTTATTAATTATAATGATTCAACGATTTGTTATGTGGCATGAATTTTATTTTACTTTTTATTTAATAGTTATGTGAAGGACTTCTGTTTGTAAAACAGTCATCCAAAATTTATTATTCGATGTCCGAACAAATGAAAACAAAAGTGTACGTGCATTCAGACTTGCATTGTCATAAAAATTTAGAATGGGTACCTTTATATAACATTGTTTACATTTTACTTAAAAGAAAATTCAACGATTTCTTCTGGGTAATTATGGCAAATTTTAATGGATTTCCTAAAATGGAGATGGCCGCTTTATATTATTTAATTTCTGTTATATTCATGTGAAATGAATAATAATATTTCTAATCTACTTGTAGGAATTCCAAAATGTGGAAATGCTTCTGACACATTTATTTTTGAAATAATCTTTTGAAATATTTGATTAGAACTGAATTTGCTATGAAGAGCTGATGCGCAAACATTGATTAATTGTTATCTTTCCTGGAATATAATCTTGGGTTATGAAACAGAATATTCTGTATTTCACATTAAAAAAATTATAAATATATTTAAACAGTACATTTGATATATTTTATTATCAATTTTAATTATAAATTTATATACATTATAATTTTAACATTTATTTTGTTAGTGCAGATATTATAATTTTTAAATTTTATGTATATGATATAATTATGTATCAATCTAAACATACAGATTTCATGTCAGTTTCAATTAATACGCTCACAAAATTTATTTATAAATGTAACAATGCCAGGTTTCTAATTGAAAAAGTGTATTAAAAACTTTGGTAGGCAGGTACAATCTACTTATTGAGAACACGCGAAATGATACGGCCTGGTTAAGAAATCTCTTTAATTATTTTGTTCTTCGTTAATATTTTTGCATAATTCATATCAATAAAATCAAAAGAACTAATTGTATTTTAAATAGAATGATTGATAGAAAAAAATAGTCCTATCTGTAAATTATGTAATATTTTAGATACTAATTATATAAACAATTAATCACTAATTGATGTTAGTAAAACTTAATTACTTTTTTTTGGTTTTGTGGTGCTCTTCGAGGACTGCCTGGATGACCATGCCCTTAGACACGCCCGATGTGTTTGACTCATGCCACGAAAAGTTAAATTTTTGGCTTTGCCATCAGCACATAACTCAGCAGTACCTCGACATTAAATCTAATTATAGCCCAAATTAAAAATATACTTAAGCATTTAATTTTTTTTGTAAATAAATAATTTTAATAAATATTTAATATTTTGTAAAAATGTTAACTCAAGCGGCAGTATTTTTGCTGAAAAATAATTATGACAGTCACAAATCTGCATTATTAATTATTTGTACATATTATAATTCAGTTTAACATTATTAAAATGTACCTGCTTGTTAAAAATTGATTTTTTGCAAAATCTTTTTATGAACAAGTTTTAATAAGTTAATACATTAGTATAAATTCTGGTAATCAATTTGAACAATTTTGAAGTGCTTTGAACACGTCACAGGTATTTTACCTGTAATAGTTTTTGCCTATTATTATAGGCCATCAGTACCATTTAAAACATTTTATTTGCAGGTACAAATTTCAAACTGATGCTGTTGCTGTATTAAGAGATAGAATACGTTGCATAAAGTTTCAGAGAGCATTGCTAATTATATATTCATTATTTATTACAAAAACCAAATTAAATACATAATATAAATTAATATCAAATATTAGAAACTTTGAACTTGGCGCTATCAAAGATTCAACGGCAGTTTAGTCAGCCGCACTCTGGCCAATCAGATCGTTCTATTCACTTTATGCCCATATATGGCAAGACTCGGCATGGAGGGGCATGGACGAGTCCATTCTACTCGAGGGGAATGCCCGCTAGAAAACATGATTTTATAACAATAAAATATGAATAATATGACTTGCAAAGCATTATATTATTGCAAGATTCCCATACTTTTACCTTTTCAGCTCCAAATTCAAAGGATTTCTCCTAGTTTAGGGCCATAATGATTTTGTTTCAGAAATGAGCTAGTAAATAACATCCCCGACGAGTCCATTTTGAACACGGCTTCCTCGAAGCAACCGGCAATATTTCTCACTTACCGCATCTTTTGTGTGTTGTGCAGTAGTGTTGTGACGTGTAAAATTTGGTAAGTTGCTTAAAAATTATAAATAATCATCAAATTAGTTGTAGTTTATAATGCATTAGGTTATTGCATTATTAGTTAAACCAAGTAATTCCATTTACGCAAGCCATTTTAGTGGTTAATGAAAGTGAGGTTATCCGGTGTAAATTATTGTTGAGGCGTCAATTAATTTGAGTTAAGAACCCTTTAATTTATTGGCTTTCATCCAAGAAATATCTTGTAAACGTTTTAACAGGTGCGTAGAACAAGTGGTTTTTGTACAACTTGATTTGGCTAAAATTAGAACAACTCGTATAAGAATAGAATAGCTAAGCACTTTTACGAAAATCGATCACTGAGTTATCCTAGCCTAGTATGCTTTTGTAAAAAATCAAACGAATTGCAATAAAATTTACAAATGTAGAAATTAAATAAAATCCGCAATTTGTAGTATAAGTAAGGTTATAATGTAAACTATATAAAATCTATACCAAAAATATTACAATAAACACTATATCAAATCACGAAGTACAGAAAATATTATAAATGTGTAAGTTAAATAAAATAAATTACCGTTTACTGGAATGTTCCCATATAAAAGTATGTGTCGATTATTGAATCCCAAGTAAAATGATTGATAATAAGGTAATTCTGAATTTTTTAATCGCATTTCAATGGTAAATGAGATAAAATTTGTACAATAGTTGATATTGAACATGGTGCATTGCAATACCATATATGGTAAAGAAGCTTCCCATTGGTTGGCTGCATTGCGGGGAGAGGGGTTACGTAATGAGTACTTTATATACTCCATTCGGTGGCCGTTTGTCGACATTCCTGCTTTTGTGTTCGCAGTATTAGCATCGTGCCACCGTGTTAAGTTGGTGCACAAATTAATTTAATTTATTTAATTTATTTTTTATAAACCAAATGTAAGTAAATTTTAATTATTTTGTAATTGTGCAATTATTGTGATCGATTTGTGTCAGTGATTTTTGGATAATTTGTGCGATTTTTGGATATAGTGCTTGAAGTGGGCGACGTTTTAAGGGTGCGGTCTTACGTGTCTCGTGTGTTGCATTTACCTTATTTGGTTATGAATTTTTATTTACCAAATCTCATGGATTATTATCGGTGTTTGGCATAGTAGTTCATAATCAATTTAGAATCTTTTGTGCGGTTTTTTGATTGATTTTTATACAGTTTTACACACGTAACACGTACGATCATTATTTTACGGAAATGTTTTAACGCTCAGCACATTTATTCCATTAACCGAAGTAGATTCCATCCGCATTTTCTTGTGAAATTTAGATTAAAATTAGATTTTTACTTTATCTTGATCTTAAGCAACGGTCTTACTTTTAATATTTTATTTATTTGCTTAAGAACTGATCTGATTAACTTGTTGTGCTCAAAGTTTGTGCTTTTATTTAGTGTTTTTTTTTTATTTGCAGACTAACTCAAAATGTGTGACGAAGAAGTTGCCGCCCTCGTAGTCGATAATGGATCTGGTATGTGCAAAGCCGGTTTCGCTGGGGATGATGCTCCACGAGCTGTATTCCCATCAATTGTTGGGCGCCCCCGTCATCAAGGTGTGATGGTCGGCATGGGACAAAAAGACAGTTATGTTGGTGATGAAGCACAAAGCAAAAGAGGTATCCTCACATTGAAATACCCAATTGAACACGGTATTGTCACAAACTGGGATGATATGGAAAAAATCTGGCATCACACCTTCTACAATGAACTCCGAGTTGCCCCAGAAGAACACCCTGTTCTCCTCACAGAAGCCCCATTGAATCCTAAAGCAAACAGGTAAATATCAAATAGGATTTCATTTTTCTTATTTTAATCTATGCCTGTGTCTAATTTATGTATTTCGTTCCCAGGGAAAAGATGACCCAAATTATGTTTGAAACCTTCAACACTCCTGCCATGTACGTTGCCATCCAGGCTGTCCTGTCATTGTACGCTTCTGGTCGTACCACTGGTATTGTCTTGGATTCTGGTGATGGTGTTTCTCACACTGTACCAATCTATGAAGGATACGCCCTCCCTCACGCTATCTTGCGTTTGGACTTGGCTGGCCGTGACTTAACTGATTATTTAATGAAAATCTTAACTGAACGTGGATACTCCTTCACCACTACTGCCGAAAGAGAAATTGTCCGTGATATTAAAGAAAAATTGTGCTATGTAGCTTTGGACTTCGAACAAGAAATGGCCACCGCTGCCAGCTCTTCATCTTTAGAAAAATCATACGAACTTCCTGATGGTCAAGTCATCACCATTGGAAATGAAAGGTTCAGGTGCCCAGAAGCTCTCTTCCAGCCATCATTCTTGGGAATGGAAGCCTGTGGAATTCATGAAACCACTTACAACTCCATAATGAAATGTGATGTTGATATCCGTAAAGACTTGTACGCCAACACAGTATTATCTGGAGGCACCACCATGTACCCAGGAATTGCTGACCGTATGCAAAAGGAAATCACCGCATTAGCTCCATCAACCATGAAAATCAAAATCATTGCCCCACCAGAGAGGAAATACTCCGTCTGGATCGGTGGATCCATCTTAGCATCCCTATCCACCTTCCAACAGATGTGGATTTCAAAGCAGGAATATGATGAATCTGGCCCATCAATTGTACACAGGAAGTGCTTCTAAGAAAAGTGTTCATTAACATCATTAATTAATATTAACATCTTTATTTCATCTACATCATCCTCATTTTATGCATATTTGCTGTTTTTATTTTTATCTCGTCATTTTAATCGGGATAAGAGTTCCTACCCAAAGCATTCCAGCATAATTTTTGTATTATATCACTTGAAGGTTTGATCAACAGACTTGTATTTGGATCATCGATATTTATATCCAACAATATTCATATTGGATCAAACGGCTTGACTTCATGTTTGTAATTTGTAAGATAAACTATGAATTATTACAATTATAAAAAATATTTGTATCTTTTATTTACTTTACTCATTTTCTTTCAGGATTTCCTTTTGATCAAATATATCAATTTCGAAATCATGTGTTATTTTCAGAACTATTCTAATGCATAATTTACAACTAAACATATATTCCAATTAATATAAATAATTTATTATTATTAAAATTAAACCCCAAGTATTTGCCTAAATAAAATCGCTAAAACAATATATATATGTACTTCATACAATTTTCAAATTTAATTTAGTTACAGAATATTCAATACAAAAAATACTTGTTTTGAAAAAAATTGCAATAATTAATGCAATAAGATTTTTTAAGTAAGGCCTCATTTAAGGGGAAATCAGGTGATTGGAAATTTTTCGTGGTCCTCATAACTTCTCACAATAGTACATCAGGTAAAATAAATTCTGAAAATGCATGTTTGATATGTTAATTTTTTTCTGATTGTGACAATATAAATTATTTAAATCCTTTATGATTTTTTACATAATTACAGTATTTGGCTGAAATTTGCAATTTGTATTCTTAAATAGCTTAAATTGGCTTAAATATTTTACGTTATTCATCTGAGTTGATGTCAGATGACGCTCGTGTGCGATGGTTTGTTTCTAAAATAATTTGACAGCTTGTAATGACAATACTACTCATATACTACTAATCCATTTAAAATTTAAAATACATTTTTAACTTCTAATTGTCAATTATAAATGTGGCCTAGCAGTTCATTATCAATAAACACTATAAAAATAATTTTATCTATTCAATAATAAAAATGTTATGAAAATGACGGCAGAAAATAGGTATTGAATTACTTCATGTAAGAATGTCCTAATATAGTAAACAGTATGTTTCTTATCATTATTTACTTCTACAGAAAGAGATCAAGAGATGAAGATTTGAATGATGCTTCAATGCCCCTGTCAAAACGTATAAATAACCTACATATACATAATAGTGCAAGTAATTTTATGAAGATAAACCAAAACTCGAATAATTCATCAGTGCCATCACGAGAAAACAATGTGAAATCAGATGCACCAGTTACAAATGGTTATAATCCAGATTTAAATGCCTCACAAAACCCTTTTTACTATCAAAATAATAAAGTGTTATTTGAGTTATATATGGAACGAATGCAAAGGAATGGTGCCTTTCAATTCGGATAGTGGTACAAATGATTACATACTGGATTTAAGTTATTATAATTAATTATATCAAGTATTTATTAATCTTATAAATTATTTTGAATAATATGGTTTTTCAATATTATTTTGCTAAAAACAGAAATTCTTTAAACAAACCAGAACAAACCTTATACATCCTCTATTATTATTCCAATGAATTATTCCAAAAACTAAAAGACATTTAAAATACTCTGTTCTAATACTAAAATAAAAGTTAGGTAGATTGTTTCTATATATTATTTTTTGTAGCAAGGTTAAACTAAATCATAAGAACATTGAAATGTTCTATCCTAATTTCATGTAAGAGCAAAATTGAAATTAAGCCTAATACTTAAAGTATGTACAAATAGGTAAAATACTGAATCGTCTATATTATAATAATGCTTCATATACAAATCTTGAGAATTGTTTATTCATCAAAGAAACACATTCCTTAAAATGATTGCAGCCAATTCTTCCAAAATAAAAATGAAAACAAATTAGAAATTCTAAGATTTGTTGTGTGCTTTTCAAATACTAGACCGGAGTCATCTTCAGTAGGAAAAAAATTTCATCATTTCTCAATTTGACATCAGGCTGCAATGATATAAATTTTCACTTGAAAATTTCGATCAAATATAAATTTCTACTTCAAAATACTGCAGTGTAAAAGGCAATGCGAAATCTCTCACATAATTCTATTCGGACTTGAGATGAAGCTTAATCAGCTTATGAACCTGCTCTAGGGCATAGCACACATTAATATTATATATATAAATATATATATATATATATATTCTACATATTTATATTTAATTCTATATACATATTTCTAAACTCATTATATAGTTATCAGGCAGGTAAGTTAGTTAATGGGTATATTGAAAAATGAGAAGTAGTTATATTTTCTTAAAACAGTATTTAATACATATAATTAGAGCCTCGAATTAGCTTATCTTTAAAAACAAAGAGGATCCAGTGGAATGATATATGATCATTTTAATAAATAAAAAATCTGATTTATTTTCTATATTTTTAAATGGATTATGTTTTAATTCGGCAACTTTTTGAAAATTTGTTAATTTATCTATCTTCAATATTAAAAAAAATATGTTCTTAATGTGTTGGATTTATTAATATTTATTAACTATTTTGAATATTACGGAAAAAGGAAATATCAACAGCAATGTTAATTTTATATTTGAAAAACGAAAGCGTCATGCCATCTATCAATGATTGGTCGAACCGCAAGTGAAAAGAGAGCTGCAGGTGTTTCATGGCAGTACTGCATGTTTGTCATCTTCCATTAAGGCCCCGTTATTATATATTCTCATATTTTGTATGTGAACATGGATTATGTGTAGAAAAATTAAATAAATTAATAAAAATTATATATGAACATTAATAAGTTTTATGAATAATCAGTGTGTGTTAATTAGTGAGGTACGAGCCTTGTTTCTTGAATTATAAATATAGGCACATATTTCCGAAGTCACTGGCATGTGTACCGTTACTTGTGGCTACGTGTAAAGTTAGTTTTTAAAGAGGAATCGCTGTGCTATGTTTTGAACTGATTTAAGGTAAGGTAAAGGGCGCTTAGATTTTTGAGATATTTCTTGAATAAATGGTGGGGGTTGGTTTTTGCTAGGTGGGGATCAAACTCGGCGAACGCCAAGCAGCTCGCTTTTAGTAGGGGGGTGAATAACCCATCGAGAGTTATAGGCGATCGCTATTGCTCGCTTCCTGACTTCCAAAAGCATTTATTATTATCATAACATCGATATTAAATATCAGAAATAATCAAAAAATGCGTCTTTGCAGATCCTATTTTAGTATTCAATACTCCATCATAAATGTCTTGCATCATCAACATGGTGGCTGTCAAATGATATTAAAAACATTTCAGCATTTCGAACATATTCTCCTTCTACTTAATTACTTAATAATAAAATATAAACAAGGTTTTTAAATAATTTTAGTTCATATGTTTATTAATTGCAACCACGAAAATAATTTTGTAACGTGCGTATAGTAGCAATTATATATACCGTAAGAATAGTCATTGTATTAACTATAGAATAAAATGAGAAAGTTGTTTGAGATTATCTCAAAAGTATTCTGTAATAGGTAAGTAGGTCATCTCTAAAATGGAAGACTGCAATTCTCATAAAACCTTATGGGTGCAATATATGTGTATTACTGCTATACTCTAAAATTTTTCTCTGTTTAAAATAAAATTATTTGATTTTATTATCTAGAAAATGGATAACTTACTTAAACGCGATTGCATATGTATACGTTTACGTATGCGTTCGTATATGAACGTTATAAAAGAATATCTTAACTATTACTTTCTTTTACATGCTACTTTCTTTTTTATTTGATTGTATTAAAATCACTTTGAATGTTTTCTAAACTATCTAAGTACTAGTGAGTGTTCACTAATTTTAACATTTATGAAAACCAAAATGTTGAAAAAAAAATTATTCATGGAAATAGTGAAAAATTCTATTTATAAGACTATTCATTAACATTTTAATATTAAATGTTTTATAAGAGTTTTTGAATGCTCTTTCCCTTACAATTAGTAGCCTGGTGTGATGGAAACATTTTTACCCCCACTCAATATGCAAAAGGTGGAATAATTAATCTGATAGGACAACTGATTTATTTTGTGAGCATACCTTAACCCCAATTATTGTTTAAATAATACAAGATTTAAAAAAAGTAATTAAATTGCTCAAGAAATAATACAATTAGCACAGAAATAAACTTAATATTTTTGTTTATGAGCCAAATATAATTTTATTTACTCACAATTAATTGTTCAATTCTTTTTTAATATTACAGATTTCATTCTCTCATAACTGATCTTGAAAAATAGCTTTCCGTCGATCATATTTATTTCCAAATTGAGTGGAGAATGTAATAATAACACATTTGTAAATTCCTATCAAATATTTTCTATTTTACATCAATAGCTCTAATAATATATTTAAATTTCTTTTCAGTAATCCATTTGGCTATCAATCATGAATTTCACTCCATTCACGGGGCAGTTTGCCGGTACAATACCAACTGGTGCTGTGCATCAGTTTGCAACCGCTAAATTTGCACAGAACATAGCATCAGCCAATGGACAAGTTTTGGGAGTTCTCTCTGGGGGTGAGGGAGGTGTACATTATCTGAGACCAGTCGATGGTACTAACTTTGCTACAAATCAAGTCCCTACGTCTAATACTCAAACTCTCATAACCTTGCCTATAACTATGCCAGGATCTAAACCAGGTGAATATTTTTCTTGTTATATTCACTTACAGTCTTTTTTTCATTGCAATTGCATTAATATTTAAATAATATGTGATATATCGAAATAATCATTACTTTAATTAAACTTATAATATATAATCATCATTATTTTTATGAATTATTAGGTGAACCTCAACAAACTGTTCAGATACAAGTAGTGAATACAAATGCTGCCCAACAAGTACAGCAACCAAAATATCAAGTTGCTCAGATGCATTTACCTTTACAAACTTTTCAACAAGGTAATTTTTAGACATACTGAATATATTTTACATTCTAAATGCATTTTTTAAATTACTTATTATATACTGTTATGAAATAATAATGTTTTTACTATTATTAAATTATATTTTAAGGCACAACAGTATTGACAGTTGCATACAATCCACAAGAAGGAGGAGATGGAGTGCAAATTCTTGGTAACCAAGGCCTGCCCGAAGGTACCTTCTATTTATGTTCAATTAAAAATATTAATAACTATTAATAAAATATTTAGTAGTAATTTTTTTTCAAATCTTCTGTTCAAGTTTTTGATAACAATATTTTAAGTAAAAATATTTTTCTAAGTTCTTCAGTACAGCTTAAATAAATGCAAAAAGCCTATTATGCATTTGAAAATCATTCAGATCATAAGGATCAAATTGGGTGACAATATTGATATGATATGGTCTAGGTACAATGTTGATTCAAAAATATTACAATTGTTAAGTAAAGAATTATTACTCTGCACAGGGTGATCACAATATAATAGTATTATTAGTGTATTAGCAAGATTTTTCTTTCGATTTCACTAAATAGATAATTATGGAGCTGATTTTAATTATAACTGGAACACAGGCATGACGGTGGTTGCTGCTATTCAACCTCAGGACTTGCAACTTTTGGCCAATAGTGGTTTAAGTATTCAAAATTGTGAACCGCAAGAAGAGGAAGAAACTGAAATTAAAGATGAGACTGTAATAAAACAAGAAATAAAAGAGGAAATTGTACAAGAGGTATGTATATATACCACACATAATAAATCTTAGAAAGTTTTTATTGCGCTTTGAAAAGAATAAATGTGCACTTTAAATATGCTATTTATACAAATTTATACAAGAACTTTGTATGTATAGTAAGAAGAAAAAACAATACTGTTTACTAGAATTGTTTTTTTGTACAATGTATATCAAAATAGATGGTATAATTTTCAAAGATTGTTTAGTGTGTTTCATGTAAACATATACAAGATTGTAGTTTTCAATAAGTGTTATTTTTGTGAGATGTGATGTACTTTCTTTTTTATTTATTATAAAAATCGTTTTGATTTTAAAATTTGGTTTAAACAGTCAATATGCTTAATAGGGGTCAAATTTAATTTTTCATGTCTTTATTTCGAAAGCTAACATATTTAATTATATTGCTAATGCTAACATTTATATATGTTGGTGGCAGAATATATGTGCATGCTAGAATTGGAATGGTTAGCATGATATATATATATGTATATATATATATATATATATATAGCATATTTATTGAATTATGATGGCATAAATTCTTTATATATAAATCTTGATGTTGTGGCCTGTAAATCCTTCCTTTTGTGTTTTTGTCGTTTTATTTTTCAAATTGAAGCAAATTTTAATTTGTGTTATCAATGAAACGAAGCATGTAATTGTGCTCAAATGTTTGTGGTGTTGTTGTATGTGCGTTTTGTTCTCAATTTGTTATTGTTTCTTTCAATATATTTGAAAAAATATAATTTTATTACAAAAAGGTAATATGCTTATTCGGTTTTTTGAATCTCCCATTAAGTCAAAAATACTGTAAAAAACTTCTAAAAATCAAAAACTTTTCCTGGCTACAGTTATTCTATATACAAAAATATAGCCTTATAGCTGTATAGGATAAGGAGTTCTTTTTAAGTGTTCATGGTAAAAGCATACTGCATTTTATTATGGTAATTTTTCTACTTATATATGGCCCCTGACTATTCATAAGACGCATAAGACAATTATATAGTGAGTTTAGTGCTTGATGCAAATATATTACAAAACATAAACATAGATTTTGATCCAACAATGTTTGTTTTAATTGTTTTTCTGAAAATTTATATTTTAGTAGTATATATTAAACAACACAATTATAAGTTTAAATAAAACAATCTGTAAACTTACTTATTGTTTTTTACAAATGAGCCGCCCTTTCTTAATTGTTATTAAGTTAATCATTTGAATTAATTTTGTAAAAAGAAAGACTAGATTCAGTAGTTACTTTTGATAATTTGTTATTTCATGTCCTAAACGAATGAAATTTTGCCGCTCGAAAAACCTTGAAATTTATTCGCACAGATAAGCAACAATACAACGGCTTCTAGTAGTGCCACAACAACAAGTATTACTCAGATGCCCCCCGGTTGGCAGTCGATTGTTTCTGCGCCGGGTACCGATTTAGCCGAATATCTAAATCGTTTGCCATCACAGACCCTGCCGCTGTCTCTGCACCATTTTCTCAAGTTCTCGGCCGAGACTATTAAGAGGGAGTCACTGGTGGAGAGTTCGCCCCTGTGTGGCGCTTTGCCTGAAACCCATATCCTGCCAGATAATAATGCTCAGGAGGAAGCAGAAACTCAAGAAGGTGAGCTGAGATTTCTTATTTCTTTTAGCCTTTGTTATAATTGTTAACTTTCTTATATATACAATGTATGAGAATGTAATCTTGAATCATCTATATTATCTTTCTTTCCTAATTCAAATATTTACACATTTTTACATATTCATACTTCTAATTTATTTTACTTATTTCTAATAGACGGTTCAACAGATAAACCCAAGCGTAAAAAGAAATACAAGAAGAAACCTCCAAAACCAAGGCGACCAAAACCAGGACAAGTACAAATTGCAACTGCTCTGGACGGCACCACATTATTTTGTTGTCCAGAGTGTCACATGGCCTATCCAGAGAAAGAATGTTTAGAACAACACTTAGTTGGCCACAAAATAGAACGTCGTTTTATTTGTGATATATGTGGTGCAGGTTTGAAACGAAAAGAACATTTGGAACGGCATAAATTAGGACATAATCCTGATCGACCGTTTATTTGCTCTATTTGCATGAAGGGCTTCAAACGTAAAGAACATTTGAATTTACATTTTGTTATACATTCGGGAGAGAAGACTGAAGTTTGTGAAGAATGTGGCAAAGGTCAGTTACAAATTAGTGCTTGTTTTGATTATTATTAACAATGTTTTTTTATAATTTTAAATGATCTGACCACTCATTTAACTGCCTGAGGTATTTTTATCTAAACTGAAAGAAGTTATATGTATGTATATATATATATATATATATATATATATATATATATATTTGTAAAAATTTTTTCAGCCCCTATATATATATATATATATATATATATATACATATATTTTCAGCCCCTATATATATATATATATATATATATATATTTATTTAATTAAAACTTAAAAATTATGGGAATGAATATTAGAAATTATTAATCAATAGGAAATAGTATCATACATGCTATAACAAAAATATATATTTTTGGTGTAGGTTTTTATAGAAAGGATCATCTAAGAAAACATGCACGTTCCCATGTTACAAGGAAATTGAAAGAACAAATGATGCTGCAATCCCAACAGTCCGCTGCAAACCAGCAACAACCTACAGAAGGCAATAGCAATACTTCAGAAATGCAACAACCAACTCAACATTCTATAACCTTACCAAATAATGTAACTATTCAGGTAATTCAATGATAAAATTTATATTTATAAGTATATGTAGTTCATTGCAAATCTGTCCCAACTATAAGAGAAATACATACTTCTCAATCATACATACATCAATAATAATACATACTTCTCAATAATACATACTTCTCAAATATATAAAAGTAGAAAAGCAACTTTTACATAATATTATATTTTAAATAGAAGATGCCCTTCAATTTTCATAGAAACTACATATTTTAAATATAAATATTTATGTGGTGATCTTTATTTTGTTCCAGGTACCTACAAGTAATTTACCATTACCTGTACAAATCACTGTTCCACAATTAATACCATCTCCGAATCCACATGAAGAGAACATTGTAAGTTCAGAAAGTACTTCCCCCAACATGAGCACAGTTGTATTACCTTCCGCTGCTGAAACAGGAGCAATGAGTTTGATGCATCGCCACTGATACAAGACACCAAAAGAATTTAAAGTTGTTTCTGAAAATGTAAGAAATAAGTAGTTTTATATTGACTTCTCATTACATTTTTAAAATTGTGGTGTAGGATTTTATAAAATAGACAATATTCTTTTTAAAAATCATTTTTATTTTATTAATGGTTTTTTATAAGTTTTATTTATATGAAGAGCTACTGCATACTTTAGAGTTTCTTTTTTGCACTATTAATAATTTGTATGTTCTATCCATAACTATAATATAAAAGATACATTATACTTGAATTTAAAGAATATCTATATTGATTAAAAAAAGTATTTTTATATCTGGTATGGGCGTGCGTGTTCTTCTAGATAGGTATATTTTATTGTATATTTGATTTTATCAATATGATGTTTCAGATTAATTTTTTTTGCTATTGTCCATAAATTGAATGAAACTAGTAAATTACTCTAAATTTATCAGTGGCTCTAATTGTAAGAGTAAAGTTATATTATTTAATGAATACTTTTTATTTAAATACAATTAAGGCGTTATTGACATACCGTTTGCAAATATGCCATTTATTAACCAAGGCTATAATTTTATTAATGCCACTTTATCAATTTTTATGAAAGCATGTCCATTTGGGACAATAAAATGCAGGCATATTAGTAGTGATATAATTTTAGAGAAAATAAATATTATATTTAGTTATAATTTGCTACTTAGGCGTGCACAGTGTTCATAAATCATATAATTAATTAAACATTTTTACAACGATGTATATATGCACATATATACACTTAAAATAATACTCAACAATAAAGTATTATCCTTATAAGCCAAGATGAATTCTACTAAAAAGGAAAACAAATGTCTTTAGTGAAACAATCATTATTAGTTAAAGTAATTATTATGTTTTTATCTAATTATATTAATCAAATAGTATTATGACCAAATCACTGTTATAAAATTTTATTAGATTGTATTGACAAAGATATGACCTAGGTTGTAATTGCCAAGTGCTCAAACTGAATGCCAGATTTATTTTATTGAATTCTTTGACGAGTTTTGTTACATATTAAAAGCATTTTAAAATATATTCTTATTGAAAAAAATAATATATTTAGGTTACTTATAAATATATATTTTATATTTATAAACTGTACATAAAAATATGTAATATATGTATTTAGATGATTGCCACTAATTACATATATATTATGTTAAATTTCTACTATATGTAATTAAGTAAACATTTCAAATTGTTTATGAGAATGATGAATAAAGTAATATAATTTTCAATTTAACAGAATCTTTACTGAAATAGGATATATATATATATATATATATATATATATATAATTATATTTTCCATAACAATGCATCTTTCAAAATAATAAATTTATTGGTAGTGTAAAGACATGTAATCATATATAAACAAACAATGTTTCTTTTCTTAAGTGAGTATTGTACACATTTATGAAGATTTGGTTGTGTGTAGTAAAATGAGAATTCTAAATATATAAACATAATTATTTATTTCATATTTTTAATAGATTATTTATAATAGCCCGTTGGGGTACTGGTGGATTGTTTGATTTACTTAAATCATGCTTGTACTTAAAATATTTTTATTGATACAAAATAAAATGATTTATATAAAATGTTTGTATAACATTTGATTTTTAATTGGATTTAAGCATATTATGATGATGAGATTAAAATTGTTTTAAGTTTTATTTTGGTTCTACTTATATAAACTATATAAAATGAAAGGTGGTTGGTTGTTTTCTGCGGGTCTTTGTTACCATTTGTTGTTTTAGTGTTTTTTGTTAGTTTTTTTTTAATATATGAGGTAAAAATGATTGAAAGTGAAATTTAAGTATTATGAACTAATTTCATTATAATAATATATTTTCAACTTTATTGTATTTTAATTAACAAATGGTTTCGAGGGTACAAAGTCAAATATCTATGAAAAAACATGAAAATTTATTTCAGTGGGTAACATTCATCTCGAGGGGTGAAAATTTATTTAATTCCATATATATAAAAGAGAAGAAACAACAATCCAATGATAAGCTTATTGGATCCTTTATATCCATGGATATTGGTATGGAATCTTATTAGTATCACATTAGAATCCTATTTGAATTGAGTAAAGATTTTCATAGTTTCAAAATGGTTTTTATTAATTCTTTACGATAACGATTTCTCTAAGCGTAGCAAGTGACAGTTTTATTCCTGGATAATATTAGAAAATAATATATTTTAATGGTTATATACCCGCTAACTAGTATGTTCTACAAATATTTCAGTCCTTGAGTGAGCTGGGGGTTCCATCTGTTGAATCAGCTCATGTATCATTTATTTTTGTTTTAATTAAGGTTAAATTCGGTTTGAAATTTTTTATATGGATGGAATGTATTAAAATATATTTTTTTCTACTTTATAAGTATAAAATACGTTATGCTGAAATGATGTCATTATCCATCTTTGCATTATCCATTTTGAAATCACTACGCCATTTTATTATTTCAACCCTTGCGAAATAGATGTCCCTTCGCTGCAATTTGAAGTGGTGTTTGTGTGTATTGAATATTCTCTTGTTAAAGTGATTATATTTCTAATAAAGAAAGTAATTATTATATAGAAATGGTGAGTCAAATAAATTATCAATAATATTTTCCTTAAATAACAGCTTTTGAGAGTGTTGTGTTCTTGATTGATCCTTTCATAAAAACGTAAACAGCCGGTAAAAGTAAAAGCTTTTATAATCGATGGGATGGGATGGGAAATGACAAAATACTTGATGGCGACAGCGTCGTTCATACGGAGCTTTAAGCTCCTTCATTGCGAAAAGTTTAACTTTTGCCAAGCGAAAGAGCTTATAGTAACGTTGCTTTTGTTATAATCCGATTGCTTTTATTATTATGTAATTTGTTCATTACCTTATTAGTTTAGTATAACTACAAACACAATTGAAGGAATTAGTCATACACTTTTAATATTTATTTTATTAATTAGTTATTTTGAATAATGTTTATACTATTTTACATCTGGATTTCTTAATTATTTTTCTACTAAATTTATTTAACTTTATTAATAAATAAATTATTTTTTCCTTAAATATATATTATGTTAAATGTGATAAATGTAGATGCCATATACTTAAAGAATATTAAACTATTTTTTATATCATTACAGGTGATTTAGATTACCTACAAACTCCATAACAATGAATTTCTCTCCATTCGGGGGCCATTTTCCGGCCACAATTCCTTCCATACACCAATTTGCTGCAAAGTTTACTCATGATGGAACTAGCTCTTTAATGACACAAGATGGTACTAATCGTTACCATACTGCCAATATGGCCCATTTTAATCAACACCATACTCCTTTAGGAGTCCCCGTTAATATGGGAAAATTCAGACAGACTGATGCTGGAACAATTGTTAGTTCTAATAATACTAATACAAGCCAACACAATATGATGAATAATGGTGAGATATTAAATTGATCGGAATTATTATCAGCATATTGAAAACCTTATTTTGTATTTGTACAATAAGCAAATGTAATCGCTTGAATTTGATACATACATGTATTCATTATGTGTATCATTATGCATTATACTTATCATCTCTTAATATCAAGTCCGATTTTTATTTAATTTTATTATTACAGTAATTATGAAGTTGAATTTTTCTATTTTTAATCCAAAATTTTATATTTAGTTTCAACTTCCAAATACCACACATCTGCTTCGAATATTACTCATCAATACACACCATCAGCGAATATAGCAGTTCCCTATTCGCAACCCAATAATATTCAACAAAATTCTCAGGTATGTTATTTAACAAAATTTTTAAAATTTATTTATGTCATAGTTTAGATTTTAAAATATATTAAAAATGTTGGGTGGATGATTATTTAGATATTTATCATATCTGCTAAAAACTATAATAAATGAAATAGTAGCTATTAACTCTTTAAGTTATTTTTTCAACTATTGAAGAATTAGTTTTATTTTAAATAAGTTTCTATTTTACATTACTTGAACATTTATATTAAAGCAAAATTTTCAGATGCATGTACAAAATCGCACAGAAGATAAAGGGCGCACACAAATTAACAATTCAAATTATCACAACCAGGCAGGTTCTGGACAAAATGGAAATGAGATTGCACAGGACTTATGTGCTATAATGCAAGCTAGTGGACAGTTACCTGAAGCGAATAAAGATAGAAGGCATGATAAATCAGTGAAACAGGAACGAGAACAGCAAGATGATAGACCTGCCAGTGGAGAAAATGAATATAATAATGGTAAATCTACTCATGTAGAAAATTGATTTATTTAATTTATTTAATTAATTTTGGACAAAGTATTTATAATGGTGTTTTTAGTTTTGATGAGATGAGATTATTTAGTTTATTTCACCCTTAAGTTATAATTTATGAATTTCAAAATTAAAATGTATATTAAGTAAACTATTATGTTTGAAATTTATTGAACTCATTTACTACACAGCTATGCATCAACAATCAATTCACCATCATAATCAATCAACTGCGATGCCAGCAACATGGCAGAGTTTAGCTGCACCAGGCTCCACTGTCGCTGACTACTTATCACATCTGCCAGCATCTACATTACCATTGTCTCTGCATCATTTTCTGAAATACTCTGCGGAGAGCATTAAAAAGGAAAGCCTTAATAATCAGCAAGCAGATCTTGTTGGTGTTGTTAGTCAGAGCTCAAACTTAAATCTGGTTGGAAATGGTACAAGTAACATGAACTTGGTTGTGAACAACACCAGTACAACAACTGATAATGCACCGGCTAAGAAAAAAAAGAAGAAAAAGGCTCCAAAGGTATTTAAAATTATATTATATATATATATATATATATATATATATATATATATATTTGTAATATTTTTGCAGCCCAACCGTCGAACCGTGTCATCATTCAGTAATCTGAAAAACATATAACATAAATACACAGTTGATGATAAATATAAATATATAAAAGGAGGAAATTATATTTTATTATTATATTTCTTCTCTGTTTCTCTTTCCCCTTTCGTACTGCGGTGTACTTTTAACCTTGAACAGTGCGCACAATGCAATGCTATCAATAACATCAAATATAGGAGGGCAATATGTGCTCCTCCTATTTCTCGTTTGTTTAAAATAGTATTTTATTATTTTACACATATCAGTGTTCAATCAATTTTACATCATAATTAATGTTTTCTGTTGTTTTTCCTGGTTTGTTATGTATAATTTCCTCCTTTTATATATTTATATTTATCATCAACTGTGTGTTTATGTTATATGTTTTTTAGTTTACTGAATGATGACACACATCAAGTGGCGAAACGTTTAATGGAATAAATAATTTTGTTATTTAATCTTTTTTTTAATTTGATGGTTGGGCTGCAAAAATATTACAAATATGTATCAACGTCGACAAAACTATCATATATATATATATATATATATATATATATATATATGTTTACTTAAAAATTTATATATTTCAATCATAAATAATTAGAAATGACATGATTAGTTTTTAATTCAGATGTGAATAGTAGTATTTCAATATTAACTCGTATAGGAAAAAAAACCTCGACCTAAACCAGGAGAAATTCGGTTGACAACTGCGTTAGATGGTTCTACATTATATTGCTGTCCTGAGTGCCAAATGGCTTACCCAGAGAAAGAATTGCTGGAGCAACATCTTGTTGGTCATACATTAGAACGAAGGTAAACACCACTTAAAGTCTTCATTTATATATAAACACATTAATTAAATTTTATTTATTTGCATTTTCTTAAACAGATTTGTTTGTGATATTTGTAATGCTGCTTTAAAAAGAAAAGATCATTTGACCAGGCATAAACAATCTCATAACCCTGAACGACCTTACGTATGCACTGTTTGCTTGAAAGCGTTTAAACGCAAGGAACAATTGACTCTTCATTTTGTCATTCATTCTGGAGAAAAGCGACATATTTGTCCAGAGTGTGGAAAAGGTAATTTATTTAATTAAAGGTAATTACTTACTATTCAAAAATTTACTTGAAATTCATGCATAAAATACAATTATGTAATTAGTTATTAGTTTATTGTATAAATTGAAAGTTGAAGCAAATAGGTTTGTAATTTTTATCTCTTTATTAATTTTTATTTTTGTAGTAATGTATTAATGTCACCTAGGTTTCTATCGCAAAGATCACTTGCGCAAACACACCCGGTCGCATATAGCGCGCCGGGTCAAGGCAGAACTCAGCCAGCAATCTGGTCCAACGTCTGGTAATGGGAGTAATCCTACTCCTCAAAGTGCAAGTAATCACCAGAATAATACTACCAGTGTGTCAAATCAGACTTCAATGATAACAGCACATGTTTTGCAAGGTATTCACTCATATTTAATTTAATTGATTTTAGGAATTATTTATTTGTTTTAATTAGGCAAAATATGTTTGCAATGTTGCTCAAATGAATACTTTTAACTTCCCGTGGGGTAACGGGCCGAAAATCGAAAATGAAAATTTTTGCATATCTTTAAAATGTATGTGTGTGTGTGTGTGTGTGTGTGTATTTTGTATGTCCGTATTTTTTCCTCCACGTTTTCGGGCGCACCGATCAACCGATTTGAATCGTTCCTATTGATAGGGAAATGTGCTGATTAGTTTTTGGCAAAGGCAGGTCCAACCATTACGGTGATACGGAGCAAAGAGTACAGAAAATACAAATCGAGTTTTTGAGAGAATGGAGTATCCGATTTGAATTATCTAAAAAACATTCAATTTGTAATGATTGGGAGAGCATGTGATTAGTTTTTAGCAAACGCAGGTTTTTAGCTCTATATTAACGCATACTTAAAATTTTAAACGTTAAAATAATCCTCAATTAATGCTAAATATAATTATTTTTATAGATTGCAGAATGAAAATAAAAAAAAAAAATAATAATAATAATAATCCTCAATATATTCTTGGGTAAATCATTACTACAGAATTAATAATATTATAAAATAATTTACTATAATTAAGTAGCTAAAATATTTCCATGGTAGGGAAATCATTGTTACAAATGATGAAACTTTTCATATTTTCATTTTGTTATTAACATTTTTCGAGAAAACTTTGCTCAATGCTTGTATGTATCTTAAATTTTGTTCATATGCCAGACAATATCAGGTCACCTGTATGTCGGGGTACCATTGTAGTTTATTTTGCTTTCGTGTATTTATTATTCTTAGACATTACTGGAATATTTCAATCAACTTTCAATATTTGTTACCACACTTGTAGGTGCTCAGGTGGCTACACCTACGCCTCTCCCACAACCTCCTGGAGGAGGTGGAGGGCAGTCTTTACTCTCCTGAATGAGTGATATGGGGAACGCTTCGGACGTCCCCTCGCTTCAGGGCGCTGATTTTATGGCTTTCGTGTCGGCCGCAAAAGATGCGTTTTGAGATTGATTTTATTTATTTGCTTCATATTTTTTGAGGGAATAAATATTAAAAATGATTTAATTTACAATATGCCTACATAATATATACATTTAGTTTCACTTTGCTTATATACTATAGTCACAAACTTCCAAATAGGATAACCACAGTCATTAGTTAATATTATCAATGAAAATAATATGTACTGCATATAGATTTAGTTAGTCATGCGTATAATATATTACACTTACGCATTTTAAAGCTTAGCAGTAAATCTGCTGCATAAAATATTTTATATTAAATAAAATGCGTATATTTGAAACAACTTAAATTTAGAACAAAAAACCTGCAATGCATAGCATGCCATCTGCAAATTTTATATTTTATTATAGAGACACGTTGTTTTTAAACTTAATTAAATCGTAGAAAATTCTACTATAAAGTTTAAACAGCTGGATGTTGGATGCTGACATCCAGCTGTTTTTCAAATTATTTTCTGATTCATGCCATTTTTATATACATATGTAGATAGGAATAAACATTCCATATTTGCTGTAGCTTATTCAGACTTAGAAGATGTAAACATTTAGAAGATATAAATATTCAATGTACATAAGGGATTATTTTAAAATGATGAATATTAAGCTGACAAATTTAATATAATGTGGCAGATACAGCCATATTATAATCTGTGAAACTTCGATGAATTAACACACTTTATTTTAAATATAATTTGTAAAAGGATTGCGATTGCATTGGTTTTATAAACCATTTTAGAGCCGGTCCATAAAGTTTACTGATATGTGATTCCATATTAGATCTTTCTAGTCATGATATTGGTGATAAAAATATTTATTTAATTTAATTTATTTTATTTTATCCTTATCATTATTTATTATTGTTATTTTTTAAATAGTAGTATTTTTATAGACAATATATTCTGATGAGATGTTTAAAATTTTTTGGCTTCATGAATGGTTACCATACTACCTCAATCACAAATTGAAAGTCTAAAAATTTTATATTACTACATATTTTTAGTACTCATAGTTTCGTGAAGTCTGTGATAAATAAGTTTTCTTTTTCTAGTTATTAAAAAAATATATCAACAAATTTTAGCACACAATATATAGAAACAAAATAAATTGTGCAATTTATTATTTTAAGTTCATTTAGTTTATGCATGTGAAATGTGGCATTAAAATGTAAAGCATTTGATGGTAATTATATCTTACCTTCGACTTGGGTTTGTAATAATTATGCTACAAACATCATGCTAGTTTGCTATTTACTGATCACACTTCTTTCTTTATCATACTTCTATTCAATGACATAAATATATTTTTGCGGTAGCCTTAAATAAATAATATTTTTGAATTTTTTTTTTTACATTTATGAAAATGAGTTTATGAATTGTGTAAAAAGATCTAGTATTTTCTATTAAGATTCAAAAAAAGTCATCATATTTTGATAGTCGTAGGGTTAAGAAAATAACTTATAGTTAACTAAGATTTGCAATATAAAATATATTTATATAAAATTAATTAGATATGTGTATTTTTAATTAACATATTTATTTGGTTGTGTTCTCATTTTGTTCCATAAAAAATGATTTTAATGTTGTAAGAGGTTTTACCTAAGATATTAATTTAGAGACACTATATAATGTGAAGATTTAGAATCATTTTTTATTCTTTTTTTTATTTTATATTTGTATGTATTGTTGTTTATTATAAATGTGAAACATCTGTGTTATAATAACTCGCTTACGATTAAATAATTCTTTTTACCACGAAGATAACTTAATGTAAGGTATTTGCTTAAAGTATTTATAATCATAGTTTTAATATGTGTAGTATGATGTAAAAGTAAATTTTTATTTATCAATGAACAAAACTTTAAAATTGTATAAGTTTAAATAATATAAAAATCATATATATATATATATATATATATATATATATCTATATATATATGGAAACATAGATTTTTAATTTTTATGAAGGTTTGAATATAATTTGAACATATAATTATGGATTTATTCATGTGGGCACAATAACATATAAGTCGCTGTTTAAGTTATGTTCATATATCTTTAGATCTCAGTCAAAACATATGGTATTAATATGTAACACATATGGTAATAAAAGCATAACTCATTATACCTTATTTGATGTTAATTTCACTATTCCTTTGATGAATACTTTCCTTTGATGAATATATTCTTTTGTAGAATACAATTTAAATGTAATTTGTTTCAACGTTAAATAAAAATTCAAATTAGCATAATTGTATGTTACTGATGCCCCCAAATAATCACATAATTTTTTATTTTTTCAACTTGCAACATTTAATTTTAAAACAAATTACTAATAGTACAAAATTTTTCTTATGCCATATTAATTGTACCAAAATGAGATAATGCAGTAAATATATGTAACTGACATATATTAAACTTATAAGATTGTCAACATTACTGCTAATGTTACCCAATAATTTTTAACAATAAAATATGAAAAACCAGATGTACGTCTAAGTTAATATAAAAAAGTATTAATTTTATTTTAGTCCTATTCTATGCCAGTGTTAGTGGTCGAATAAAAATGGCAAAATCGTTATCTTTTGCACTAGTTTCATCACATTTATTAACTTTCTGCAGGGTAAGTTATAGTAATCGCAAAAAAATCGAAAATAAAATTTTTTATATCTTTACGTTTTAAAGGTTTCTGAACATTTTGGCATACCTGAAAAAAATGGATGTATGTGTGTATGTGTGTTCAATAATACATTGAAACGGGCAACATATGCCTTGCTTGAAAAAAGCTTTTGTATAAAAACTGTATTATAAAAACAATTTTAACAATTATTCAAAATTGTTCATATAATTCGACGTTTTCGTGAGTTTTTGTATTTTTTTTTAATTTATTTGTATGGACTAAGATGGGTCAAATCAAGACCCGAAACGTATGTTTTCATATTAAAAACATTTTCCTTCAATAAAACTGTTTTTAATTACTGGATGGATGCTCAAGAACAACTTTATCATATCATATATATATATATATATATATATATATATATAATACATTAGAAAACCCATTATTGCAAAGGCTTCTGTTGCAACTAGTGTTGTATAAAAATTATTCTATTTATATTTAACGGAAAATTTGAGCGGTACTTGCAAAGGAAGTATCGGCGCTAAGATAGAATTTAGAATCGTACTCATTGACTTTTGGTTTGAAACTTATATTAAAAAATTCGTCGTCTTTTAAAGGTTTTTTTTTTACCTTAGCTTAGCCTAAAAAAGTTAAATTTAATTAATTTTTCGGAAATCTCGATCCGACAACGTCGCTGTGTGACAAATGTCTGCTACTTTGTAATATTTTGGTGTTGCCCAATGTCTAAATAAACATATACTAGAAAATGGTGTATAGTGTATGAAGCTAACCATGGATAGACAAGTCAAACAAATAATTAAAAAATAATTATTAAACACAAAACTATATATTAAATTATATTAAAAATATATTCGAAAATATTTATTCTACTCTACAACAGTCATGTGACAATTTTATTTCAAGAAATTGTTTTATGATTAATTCGTAATCAGTTCACTTTTGCCAAGAAATAAATGCTAGACCAGCAACAATATTTATGTATATAATTGTTTTATGTTGAATGATTAATGCAGTAAACAAATTTTAGAAGCATCAGAATATGGCTAATGCTACCAAAATATTATGAGTGACATTTCCTGTTTGAGAAATGGGTACAAGATGGCAAAAACTTGGAGATTATCCAAACAAATTGCTCAGGAACAGCAAATGGAAATAAATAATGAAATATATGTAATTGATTCATCAGATGATGAATTCCCTAATGATGATGGTTGCAGTTTATCAGTAGAGAAAATTAATGATATAATAATCGGTGGTGTAGATTTAAATAAAGATATTAATTTCACGACAGGAGATACTGATGATTCTAATCATGAAAGCTTCAAGGAACGCAAAGAAGAAACAGGTGACGAACATGTAGTTTATATTTCAGATGATTCTTCAGATTCAGAAGATAATGGTGTATCAAATGCATTGAATATCAATTACAACCACCTAATCGATAAAGCAGCACGAAGTACAAATTATAATCATAATTATGAAATTTCTGATAAAGTAATTAGTAAAGTTAGTAATATAGAAAACAATAATCTTATTTCTATAATTGATGAAGATTGCTCTGTAACTGAAAAGCCAGATATTGATAATTATAACACTAAGCAAAATGCTAAACTAAAAAATTTACAAAATTGTTCATCAAGCAGAAGCACAACTTGTTCTATCAATAATGATTCGAATGGCTTGTTAAACAAAAAATCTACTGTTGATGATGAACAAATACTTGATTCAAGATTAAAATTACTTCAAGAAGGGTCCATTGAGGATAATATTCCTTCAGTCAATATTACAACGGATAATTTTCAAAACAAGAGAAAGTTAAGTACAGAGAATATTGTTAAAGCAACAAATAGCGTGGCAAAGGACAGCAATGCTGATAAAAATTGTGTTAAGAAGGATGAAATATCTAATACTTTAAGCGCACAATTACATCAATTTGAGTGTTTTGAAAAAAATGCTATAAAATTGTGGTAAGTTTTTATTAGTATATAAAAATTTTGGTAAGTAAGCATTTGATAGCTAAGCTTATATTAGTGTATAAGAAATTTGATAATTTTATATTTTCGATATAGTATTTCCAGACATATATAAAATTGCAATATCAATATTATAACTAAATACAATACCAGCACCTTACTCGAGAATTTAATGTAAGCTTATAATGTTCATTTTTAATCTAATATTATATTAATTATAAAATATCTTACATATTCATATATTTAATTTAACTTGCTTCTTGATTTATATTCAATTCTGTCAGAACATATTCTAATCGACATCAAGCTGTATGAATGTATCATCAATAATATATGAATAAAACCAATATTTCTTAGAAAATTTATTGATTGAATTAACTTTTTTATTTTATAAATAGTTTAAATGCTTTCTAATTTTTAGTAATTCTTATGAGATGTGCAAGAATTGGGAGCAGAGCAAAATGTTTGTTGAAATATCTAAAGAAGAAATTGATAAGGATCAAAAGATGATAAAATTCGAGAGTCCAAATAAGTTAATGGTAGGTAAACTTTATTGATTATGTACATATATATATATATATATATATATATATATATAATTTTTTCATTATTATTTTATATTTTAGGATACAAGTGTTAGATTAAGAACATCCAGTGGAACACCTTGTCCAAACAATATTCTTTATGAGCAGACTAGTTCTAGCAATAAAGGTAAATCGGATATACAAATTCGCTTGGATTTTAAAAATACTAATCCAAATATAAATATTGATGAAAATGAATTGCATTTAGAAGATAAACAACTGGTGACACACAATTCAATGTCTGATCCAGAAAAGCATGATGAACAAGATATAAAAAATGATATATTTGATTATCTTAAATTAGACAAACGAAGGCCAATGGAAAATAGAAGTGACTTGGAGAATGAAAATAAGAATAAAAAAAGACGTTCATTGCGTGTTGAAAGGCAAAAACAGATACAAGAAAATGCTAAAGAATTATTAAAGCTTAGAAAAGAGAATGAAGCTTTTGAAGCTGGTGAATGTCCCAATGATTTGATAAATGAAACTATTATTACAGTCAATAATAAACACACTTGCAATGATAAGCCTCCAGTGTTGGAACCAATTTCACCTGAACTAAGACTTAATAATTTAAAAAATTCTCCGATATCTGATCTTCGTATATTTAACAACACATCACAATGTGAGTTGCCATCAAATATTTCAGTAAACAACAAGAAAAAATTATTGCTGTCTAAACGAAAATATAAATCTTCAATAGATACAAATAAAAACTTTAAATTGCCTAATTCACAAGACAAAAGAAACTTTAGTGAAAATTTTGTGGCCAATATTAGTCAAGCAACTAAATCAATTAAATTATCATTGAGAAGTGATGACAGTGACGATAGTGAATCAAACAGTTCAAGAACACAAAAACCAGTTTTAGATAAACAAATTATTCCTAAAACAACAATACAAGAAAAATGTATTAATAATTTAGATTTAGGTAATAACATCAGGCCTCATGTTCGGCTGAAAAGACTTCAATCAGGAAATAACATACCGGTTGATAGCAAAGAGCTCGAGAAATCTAAAGAAAAAAATGAGATTAATGATACTTCATTATTATCTAATAGAAACTTCGGATCCTTAGAAATATTTGATAAGTTTAGTAATAAAGTCTACTGTGATATTTTGCAACAATCTCCTTGTTTGAGTTCTACATTTGATAACGGTTTGATTAATGATACAGAATCTAATAGTTCAAAAGATAATGATAATTTCATTGAGAATTCTGGTAAAAAAACCATCCCTACTAAGGTTGTTGATTTATCAGGTGAAATAAAACTTACAACTACATTTAACAATGAAGGTGGTTTTCGGAGACTCAGAGAAAGGAGTCAAACAACATCTAATGGAATTTCTAGTAATGGCCATAATCATGAAACAGAAAAAGTTAGTTCTTGCGAGAAAATGCCTCGATTGAAGAAAATGGTTCATAAACCAAAAGAGTTGAAAGCATCATATGTTTTTCACAACAAGCATGATCTTCTGAAATATATTAATAATAAGAAAAATAATAAACTTCAAATATCTTCTACAACATTGATTGAAAATGATAATAAAAAGTTGAGCAGTACAGAAACTGATTCAGGAAATATATCGAAATTTTCTAACAAATTTTATGATGATATTTGTTCAGATACAAATAAAACAAGTGATATTGAATCTTTATGCTATGTTGAAAATAACAAAGAAGACGAAATTGAATCTTTCTTTATCAAAAATGAAATTGTGATAATTGTAAGAAAAAAAACAGTGCATTTTTATGAACATTGTACTGGTTTTAAATTCTTTCGATCTCCAAAACTGTGGCACCATAAAGGCTTTTTAACTCGATATCAAAATGATCCAGGTAAATTTGTTAGTATAAAATATTATAATTTTTAGTAGAGAATTAAATAACTTACATAACTCAATTTTAAAAATTAATTTTGATTGTAGCTCTAAAATACTAACATATTTAAACCTTATATTGACATTCTTTATTTTTGAGAATTTTCTCTTCATTATTTATTTCACATATATGTATATATATATATATATATATATATATATATATATATATATATATCTTTTACTTATATTTGTTATCTTGAACTCTATGTAAATTTGTAGTTCACTTTAAATCTGTTTTATCATATTGTTTATCTATTTATTTAATATCTTAGAAAAGAGACTTGACCAATTGACAAATCAGATTATGTATTCTGACAAAATTACTGCTTACGTCGAAGTATTAGTGAGACCAAGAAAGTTAAGTTCTTCACATGATTGTCCTGTTTGTGAAATGTCTGCAGTTGTTTATCGCAATAGATCGACTAAAGATTATCCTGAAAGAAGTATCTTGCATCTTGATTATGCACAATGGTGAGTTTATATTTATGAAATATATTAACAAAAATGCATCATAAGTATATAAATTGTCTATGGATTTTCATACTAATGACATATACATCCTACAAATTTCTGCCTGGCTTAAATTATATTTTATTTTTATATAAAGAAAATGTTTGATTTTATTATTCACTAATGAAGCAGATATATTTAAATAATTGTATTGTACTAAAAATGTTTCAGATAACTTTTATTAGAGTACTGTGATAATTGGTATAACTGGTAAATTATTTGATAGAATATTGTCATGCAGAAATATATATTTAATTATATTAATATTATGTATAATAATAAGTTTTTAATATCTTATATAGTTTTTTTTATAATTTCATTTGGATATTAAGGGCAAACAAATTCAAAATATAAAATTGAGTTTAAACCGTTTATACTAAAAAGTCATTTTAGATATCATTTTAATCTTAGCAAAATAAAAATTATAATTTTATGATTTATAAATAATTGAAGTGTTCTGTTATTAAAGTCTGTCTTATGTTATTTTCTTATAATATACATTTATCTTGTTTTTTTTTCAGTTCTGTGAATAAACTATGTTTCACAGTTTTGCCTTCGGATAGAGCTGTGGTTGTAGGATTTACGAATACATCTTCTGACAAACCATTATTTATTTTGAAGAAATATCTCATGCCTAAACAGTACTCGAGCAATAATGATATAATCACATTACCAAGTGTAGATTTTAGATGCACAAACTTACAAGCCGTTAATGGTAAGTTTGTTTTTGTTTTCTGAATATGAACTATTTATGAACATTTAATTTCAGTTAAATAATTTTTCCAAAAAAATATTTGTACATGTAAACCAAAAATTTCCAAAAATTATTCACAAATTAATTTAAAAGTATTATTAATTTTCAATATATTAATTTTACATGAAGTTTTATGTAGTAACCTAAATAACTTCCCAGTAAACCACAGAAGTTACCACCACGTAACACATTTTGTAACTTTCGTTTCGAAACTGATGTTAAGTAAACGAACCGATGCTGTTACGTATAGTTGTGAGCTTTAACCACCGTCGACGCGTTTAAACGTTTATAATACTGCTTTGTTCGTATCTGTCGGTACGTGGCGTGGTACGTTGCACGGTCACATACATTTGCTTTTGGCAATAGCCGTGAAGTGTTTTATGATCGAAATGTCAAATTAAATATAGGTTAACTCGGTCAGTGCATCGTGGACGCATAATTGAGTATTTTATCGTGTATGCTTGAAATGCAAGATATTTCCTTTATTGAAGCGTTTTTTATTAATTGCTTTTATATTTAGTGCGAAATCAGTTGTAGAAATTAGTTAAACAGTCAGCTGGAAAAGTATTTAATATGAAACCGGCAAACAAGGTGAGTCTAATTGTTCTGAAATATATTTTAATTTATAAATTATTATAATAATGTTTAGTCATTTGCAGTATATAGGCCGCCTTCAATGCAAAGTCTGTTCATGTATTGTGATAATTGATTTGTCATGTAATAATTGAAATTTCTAACACACCAGTCAGAAACATAACCTCAATTCAGTGATATATGAATAAAGAGAAGTAAGTTATATAGTTTTATACATATTCATTTTTTATAGTTTCATTAGTATCAGAACTATTTAGCTAAGCACAAACTGATATAAGTTGGTTTTCAATTGTAGAGAAAATTATAGTGCTGATAACCCCTACGAAAATGGATTTCAAACTAGGGAAATTTTCTCCAATAGAGAAGATAAATACAAAGTTAGATAATATATTAGAAATTATTAATCCTTTGTCACCAAAAAAAAAACAAGCAAGGCTTGAAAACATGCAAGAAGAAAAATAAGAACACATATCGATAAATAAGAACACATATTAAGATTAAGTGTTGAAAAGAAAATGAATTGTGGAGTATTTCTTAAGTGATGATATTGTATTACAGAATAGGTATATTAATGTTTTACACAAACAGAATTTTAACTAATATGATTTAGTACTAATTTGTAATGTTTTACTTTTAGGAAATTCACATATTTAATACGAAACCAGCAAAAGTGAGTATAATTGCACTGTTTTTTTTTTTTAATTTACAAATTATTATATTAATGACTAATTAGTTATTTTCAGTATATAGGTCATGTGCAATGCAAATTCTGTTTATGTATTGTGATAATTGATTTATCACAAAATTATTGAAATTTCTGACAGACCAATCAAAAATCACATAACCTCAATTCAGTGATATGATATGAATATTAGAGGTAGATAAGTGTAATATATATGGTATCATACATATTCTTTATAATTTCATTAGTATTAGAACTATTCAGTTAAGCAAAAACTGATAAATTGTAGAGAAAGAGTGCTCATAACCCCTATGGGTTATGTCAAAATGGAATTCAAACTAGGGAAAATTACTCTAATCAAGAAGATAAATTGTCACCAAAGAAACATGCAAGAAGGAAAACAAAGAATGCACCGGATATCACACATTATATGGATTAAGTGTTGAAGAGAACATGAATTGTTGAATATTTCGAGTCTGATGATCTTGCATTACAGAATTGGTATATTAAGGTTCTACATGAAGAGAATTTTAACTAATATGATTTAGTACGAATTTGTAGTGTTTTACTTTTAGGTAATTCAGATCTTGAAAATTAGTAGGATAAAATCAATGCAAGAAAATTGAGTGTGTGTTCATGGAATAATTATCTCTGTCATATGATCGTAGGAACTACATAGTCATTAACTTCAAATAATGAGTATGGTTAGAGGTAATGTTCACAAATGACTAATTTGTTCACAATGTTTTCAATTCAAAATTTGTGTACAATGTTTCTAAGATGGTTGGTTCTATTTTAGATACATTAACAGATGCAAGTGAGTTGAACATATTTAACTCAAGACTTAACTTTGCCAAGTCTGATTTAACTAACAAGAGAGTTAAACATAATACATATTATGAATAAATAAATAATTATTTTTATAGGCTAACATTTTATGGACTATCAAATTTTAGTTTTCTAATGTTAACTATGTAATATGTAAATTTTGTATATTGTAAATGATAATATTTAATAAAATTACTAAATATCCGAAATTATTATTAATATTCTATATTTGCAGGAAATTTAATTAAATAAGTATGTAACATAAAAGACACCTACACGCTTTTTTATTCAATTTAGATACGTAGCAAAAATGTAACCGCGGTGTATTAGTGTGCAACGAAACAGCCGTTACGTTCTTGCCCGCGAAATAGATGCTTCTGTGTGCCTCCCAGGTTACGTACCTGGTTCGTGCGGACGTGCCAGCGTTACGTAACGTTCATGGCTTTGTTACGTTTTGTGGTTTACTGGGTTGTAATAAATGAATTTAATTTAATGTTTATTTTCTTTTCATTTGTAGCGGATATAATATTGGGTTACAATACTGAAAAAATTGTTTTTTGGCATCATGGGTATGAAACTATACTCAAAATTGTCAATTTAACATCAATTTCAAAATCAATCTTTAGCCCGGAAAAGTTTTCCACACAATGTGTTTGGGCGCGAATGGACTCATGCGGTAGCAAAGTAAGTTATTATTATTTTATCAAACATCACTATCAAAATGAACTACAAGAGTTTTTATAATAATCATTTTTTAATGATTTAGGGATCTGCATTACACATCTTAATTTTTCATCCTGCAAGAAATAGATTTTCACTGCTTACTGCGACTGATCAGAGTTGGATCGATTTTAAAGTGATACATGTATATCAGTTAGAGGTATTTATGGGAAGGTATGTGAATTAATATTTAATATTTCCACATCTTTTGGAGTTTTATTTATTATTTTGGAATAATTTGTTTTTTTGTTCAATCTGGAAATTCATGCTCATAAGCAAAATAGTTGAAAATATTTGTTTTACATGCGTCAGCCGAATACTGAGTTTTTTCTGCCTTTTTTAAATTCCTATCAGATATAGTCTATTCTATGTTATAAACTAATAAATACAAATAATACAAATAATACAAGTCTTTAAATTCATATATATATTTTTTTTCAATATGTGATGGTTTTGTTATAAGAGCATTTCTATTCGATAGGAGTTATAATTTCCTTAATAGTTGTTTGTACACAAATAATAAATCAATAAATATCTCTTTAAAATTTATAAAAATATATTTATAGTTTGAAGTCAGTCAGCATTGGAGGTTATCGAGTTGTTGCTGCTTTTACAGAAGGAGCAATATCATATGAATTTCCATATGAAATGCAAGAATACAACCTCAAAGAATTCAGTAAAGCTTTTAATGTCTGTACATATGAACCTTCGACTATATATCCTAGCGGAGAGAATGTAGTTTATTATAAAAACAATACTGCCGTACCATTATGTATAGATCAGCTGTAAAAATTGTATACAGTAAAATACCATGTACATACCCTCTAGCACACACACACGCACATACACACGTATATATATATATACATATATATATACATATGTATATATGTATATGTATATTTACAGAATATGTACAGTGTGTATACATATGAGTGAACACACAGAAATCTATTTCTTAAATTGATTCTATTCATAGCAAATCATATTTTATGTGATCATATCATTGAGACATGATTGTTTAAATAACATGATATTGTCAATAATCAAAATTTTAACTTTGAAGCAACAATAACCATAAAATAACGTAGTTTAACTCGCATAATATTGAATAACTCAATTCATTCATTAAGTTAACATAGATTTTGTGAATGACAAATGCTTTGCATTTTTTTTATTTTTATCTATTTCAATATTATAGAAAATACAATTAAATACGTAAAATATGAGTTGCCAAAGAATATAATGAGTTTCTGAAAATATGATAATACAATTGAAGAATTTGTGCATTATTTGTGTAAATAGCACAAGTTTTATTGTTCAATGCTGAATATGAAATGTGCAATATTTTAATATTTTATAAACTTTGTTTTATGTGTATCAAATTGCAAGAATGCTATTACACTGTCTCGAGATAAGTTCGTACTTTGTGAATTGAATTATTTTATAATTTTGAACTGCGGAACCTTATATTATTTATCATATATTTTAATCAATATCTTATTGTGATAATCTTAAAGTTTTAAATCTATTATATTTTAATATATTTATTTTATAATTATTTTAAACAGTTTTAACAAATCATTTTCTTATGATTATCAATAAATAATTTGCCCAATTTTGTTTATATTTGCTCAGGTTTTATGTGAAGATTTATGCATCTAAATAAACAATAATATATAAATATATACATATATTAAATATTATATCTAAATAATATAATATATAGTTATATATTTACATCTTTGTATTTAGAAACATATATCTTGTCAATGTGTTCCAATTTTGTTTAACATTATTGACAATTTAATAATATGCATGTCGTATTTTGAAAAGACTTCATTGAGGCTTCATTTTATTTTTGAGATAGATAATGTGCATATCGTTAGTTTTGATTTTCCATGAGGTTTATGTAAATAATAGTCAGATTTAAAATACAGAGCATTGTTTACATCTTCATACAATATTAACCATTGTATATTTTGAGTAGGTAGTTTATAGTTTATACAATTTAGGCTACATATTTATAAAATATGTATAAAATCTATATACGTACATAAGTACGTACATTTGAAGATATTGAATATATATTTATATGTAAGTTTACATTGTACTAGATTAAGTATAAAATTTGTAAAAAAGGGTTTTTCGTAAACTGTTAATAATTGTACATCAGTGTTAATACCTTTCATGGATTTTCATAGTTCAAATAGGTTTTAACTAAATTTGTAAATATTTAAAGCATGATTTTTAAATAAATAGGTTGATATAAAACTAATTATAGAGTTACATTTTTTTTATCATCACTGAAATCGGGCATTGCCGTTCATTGACTTATGTGGAAAAACGGCAGAGTGTGAGGTCTAGAGATTACTGGAAAACCGAACTCTTCGCAATACAATATCATTCTGACGTCCACAGACAATCTGAGGGTTCCTGGTCGATATCGTTGCTTCTTAAAGAACCTTTATACTTATTTATCTATTGTTGCCGCGTTGTCGTTACCGAGCACAATACGAACTCAGAGCAGAAGAAAGATGATTATCTGCTAATTTGAAGCATATCATTAAACGGTGGAAGTGAGAGTAAAAGTGAGTATATATTTGTATATACAGTATACAGCGGTACCCCCGCTTACGAGTGTTTCGAGATACGAGCCGCTAAAACGGTTATCCGTTGCTTGGACATACGAACAAAATGACGAACTGTAAGAGCCAGCTAGAGTTTTCTCGAAAACTCTTAATTCAAAGTGAACTAGTTGCGTATGACATCGCGCCTTAAAGCAAATTGCTGGAACTTCCGGTATCGTAACAATATGTTCGAGGACTATTAAATGTTTTGAAATATATTATTATAAATTATCTAATATTTATAAGACATATTCATAAACTGAATTGCAAAGTTAAAATTATGTATTTAAAGTATATAAGTGAGGTTTAATAATTAAAATTAAAATCTAAATTATTTTAGATATACAATTTTTTTTGAATTTGAAAAGAAAAAATTGAAATATTTATTTCCAAAAGCAATTATTTTGTCAAAACAAGCAGAAAGTTTTTGAATCATTCAAATCGGATGCTTAATTCTCTCACAATTAGCCCTCCAAAGTAGTATACCCAAACGGCTGCACATGTCTTTGCCTAAAACTAAACACAACTTCTCCCAATCATTACAAATTGAATGTTTTTTGAATCATTCAAATCGGATGCTCAGTTCTCTCAAAAACTCGATTTCTATTTTCTGCACTCTTTGCTTCGTATCTCCCAAACGACTGGACTTGTCCTTGCCAAAAACTAATCAGCACATCTCCCTATCAATTGGAATCGAATGTTTTTTGAACCGTTGAAGTCGGTTGATCCGTGCGCCCGAAAACGTGAACGAAATAATGCGGACATACAAAACACGTGTTTACACAAACACATCCATTTTTTCTGAGGTATGCCAAATTGTTCAGAAACCTTCAAAACGAAATGAATTTTTTTGCATATCTTCACGATTAAGGTAGTGCCAGCGGTTATTGGGGTTTTTTAAATTATTTTCACAAAACAGCCACAATATTACTATGAGTGGAAAATCATTATTACAACTGAATAAATTTTGCATATTAACTTCCCATAAGGTATATATACATGTATATATACCTTACGGGAAGTTAATATGCAAAATTAACTTCTTATAAAATTAACTTATATACATGTATATATACCTTACGGGAAGTTAATATGCAAAATTAACTTCTTACAAATTTAACTTCTTATAAAATTAACTTATATACATGTATATATACCTTATGGGAAGTTAATATGCAAAATTTATTCAGTTGTAATAATGATTTTCCACTCATAGTAATATTGTGGCTGTTTTGTGAAAATAATTTTAAAAAACCCAATAACCGCTGGCACTACCTTTGCAAAAAGTAATTCAGATTCGTAGTAAATTTTTATAATTTGATTTATCTTCGTATATTTGTAATACGTATAAACTGTTACCCATTATAAATGCATATTCAAAAAGGGTCAATGTCTTTTATAGAATATAGCCGAATGCTTTATTTCTCACAATTAAAAAATAAGTCAAATTCATAAGCCATTTAAAATTAATTGCCGAATTCGGGCAACTGGTAGCAATTGTACTCAATATTGGGAAATAACTTACCGTATTGATTTTTGCAGAGTGGAACTTTTAATTCTATTTAGTATTTAACATTTGTATTCTTCATCGAATTAAATCGTTCTTAACTGATATCTATGTTTAATTTATTATTTTTATCTGAGTCATTTCGTAAAAATCACAATAAAAATATTTTTTGCTATCTTCAAGACTATCAGATTGAGAAATTATATAAATTAATTTACCGTGCACGTCCAATAACAAAGATTCAATAGACAATTGAATAGACAATTCAATTTTAGGGAATTTTAATGAACACAAACTAATTTCACATGCAAATATAAGCATTTCAATATTAATGGATTTTAACAAACGAAATCTAATTTCATCTAAAGAATAGAGTACATTCATAAAAATGTATGTGTATTTGCGTATTTATGGAATGTATTAAGTCTCTCCTTCAAAAACTCAGTTTGTTGATGGGTTACCCTCGTAGCTGTGGACTGTATTAAACACTAATTTGTTGGTATAATTTATGTACATGTTGCTACGCGGACTTTAGTTTTGGAAGTGAACAATTAGTTCCCTCAAACCATATCAAACTCTCACAATAAAAATCACAATAATACCCCTGATACAGGAGGTATGGTAGCAGCCTACCGTCGCCTTCACGGCCAATGTAATAAAATGAAAATACGTCCGAACAGTATTTTAATAAATATATTGCCATGTATATATGTCAATGGTTTATTTTATTAATATAATATTAAAAGTATGTGACTTTTTATAAATGTTTTCTCAATGGCAGCATCGATTTTAAAGATTGATCAATCTCTCGGTATTTCGAAATACCATTTCATTGAATGCGATAAGTACTGATGGCATTGATCATTTTTGCACGAAGATCGGCTCAGCCGTTTCATTATTGGAATTAGCAGTTAAATACAAAATGTTTTGCGAAAGCTACTGAACCGATTTTGAAAATTCAAAAAGGTTTTGAAAGATTAGGGGTTGAAAGCAATGCAGTTGTTGATAAAGATCTTGTTGTTGTTGTTGATAAAGATCTTGCAATGTTTTTATTAAAATAATTCGCAGTTCTAATAATAAACATTTTAGTCTTTTAATATATTTCATAATTATGAATCATAAAAATGTCTTGAGACATTTTAGGTGCAATATTTCTCTTTAATTCCAGTTCTTTATTTCTCCGTTCCTTTCCAAGCAGTCACTAACCTCGCTCCCATAAATGAGCGGACAATGAGTTGAGTCAGATAGATAGATTTTAAAACAGAGGCGTATTACTCTCATTCCTTCAATAATTAAAACATTTCAAGATTATCATTAATTTAATACAGTGGCGTCGAAACCACGTGGGCTGCGTGGGCGTCCATCAATCTCAAAATAAGAGGTAGTCTTAAATGTCTAAAAAAATTGCTTTCGATGCCACTGATTAAATATAGTACGTCCATACGCAAATATAAAAATGCATTTTATTAATATTGCCACTGACACTATTATAAGAGTCGTGACGTAAATTATATATATATATATATATATATATATATATATAATATACACTAACACTTTTATTGGAGCTGAGACGTATATATACATTGTTGACAGCTTGATTGTTTTAAATATTTTACGTGAAAAAATGCACATTTTTATATGTACGATGTATTGGTACAAAGATAATTTAGTTAGAAGTAACAAAACAAAATATAATTTTACAAGAACATAAATTTCTCTTAAAAGCACGATCTCTTGGTTAAAAATCTATTGTTATACTAAAATTAAACAGCAGGTTTCATTGATAACAACTATAACCACAAATTTATGAATTTAAATAATATTAACAATATTTAAAACTGGAATCAACGTATTATGCAACCATATAAGTTTTTATGGTAAGTTAAAAATGTACTTATTCAGTATACGAGTTTTTTGTAGTTAAATCTGTTAAACTAATTTTAATGCACATTATTATCAATTAGTACTAAATCTAAATAAATTAAGAATGAAGATTGAATAAATTTTATTAAAAGTTATAATATATATATATATATATATATATATATATAACTATTACATAATTTGTTTGTACTTATTTTATTTAAATATTGCCAAAAGTGGTAAAAAATTTGTCCAGCGATACTCATATGTTTGTTAAATACTTTAAATTTTATGGTGACAGAGAGTTGGTCGGCTTCTTAATAATTTAAATAATAATTTAATTTTCTAATATTTTAATACATACTTACATACTTGCATACATACGCACATACATCTAGTTTTTCTAATGTATGCCAGAATTTTCGGAATGTTTTGAAACGTAAAGATATAGAAAAAAAATATTTTTGATTTTTTGTGATTACTAAAACTTATCCTGAGAGAAGTTAAAAATAATAAAATTTATGTTTGAATAGACTTTGTTATGCATTCCATTCTTCTCTACTTATAATTTATTATAATATACAATACAGTGGTACCCCGCCTTACGAGCGACTCGTCATACGTGTTTTTTGAGATATGAGCGAAAATTCGTAGATACAAATTACTATAACAAATTGAAGAAAAAAATAATGCTCATTGGATAGTTTTTTTAAACTCAAAAACTAGTATAATGATAATTTAGTTATTTGCTATGTTTTTCAGTCATTTTTTAATAATTTCGACACGCTAGCGTGCTTACGGAACGAATTAAGCTCGCAAGGGTTGGTACCACTGTATTTCAAATTCCTTAATACCAATTGCTTCCTTCTAAATCCTTCCCAATGCGCTCCTGTTGCACGCATGCGTCCCATCCGCCATGAAGTTGCGCCCTTCCCTTCCTTCCCCAGAACAACTGTTCACCAGTCAGTGTTTAGTTCACGTGTTTGACAGTTGTGTTGTGGGGTCATTTATTCAGTTATGAAAAAGCCGAAATTATGGTTAAACAGTTCAGTTTTACGATATTATTAAGAACCATGAATCACATGGGATTGGTTTTACGATGTGTGGTGAGTGATTATTAGTGATAAGTTATTTTTTACAGAGAATAACTATTTCTGATAACATATCATGCGTGTGCAAGTTGTGCATCTGTTTTGGCACCGGTATCCTTGACCATGAATCATAGGTAGGACATGGAGGTGCATTGTCAGGTTTATTATATCTATATATTAATTTAGATAATGAAATCAATAATATTTTCTACATATTAAGTGGTCAAATTATCAGTAATATTGCATTCTGTCATTTCATTTTCATAATTAATATATGTGCACATTGAATGTGTCATTATTATCTATGAATGTTTGTTAAATTTTTCAAGGAATTCGTAGGAATATAACGTACCAATATGGCATATGTATATTGATTGATAAATATTTTCAATATGGATGAATATTCTTTCAAGTTTTAATAATTAATTTTTAAGGGGTTATATTTTAAGGGGTTATATACACTATATAACCCCTAACAATATATATATATAGGCCGAAAAATTTTTCTGATTTTTTTCTGAGAAAACTATTAAATTTATTGATCCAAAAATTTATACGCATATGGTATATTAATTGATAAATATTTCCAATATGAATGAATATTCTTTTGATATTAAATATTAATAATAATATTCTCTTTAATATTAAATTTCTTAAGGAGTTATATCTTAAGAGATTATACACGTATACAGTTAGAAAACGGAAAAGGGTGTATTTTTCTGATTTTTTTCTGAGAAAAATTAAATTTATTGATTCAAAAATAGTATATTGATCGATAAATATTTCCAATATGAATGAATATTCATATTGGAAAATATGAATATTCTTTCTTATATAAAAATCTATAAAAATATGCTTTTAACTTATTTAAATTTTAAATTAAATTTATTTTTATATATAGTTAGAAGGCCGAAAAACGGTGTTTTTTCTGAGAAAAATTAAATTTATTGATCCAAGAATTTATACTCATAATATAGTATATTGATTGATAAATATTTCCAATATGAATGAATATTCATATTGGATAATACGAATAATCTTTCTTATATAAAAATCTATAAAAATATTCTTTTAACTTTTAATATTAAATTTATTTTTATATACAGTTAGAAGGCCGAAAAAGGGTGTTTTCTGAGAAAACTATTAAATTTATTAATCCAGAATTTTATACACATATGGTTTATTAATTGATAAATGTTTCCAATGTGAATGAATATTCTTTTAACTTATAATATTAAATTTCTTAAGGAGTTATATCTTAAGATGTTATATACAGTTAACAGGCCGAAAAAAGATGTTTTCTGTTTTTTTCTGAGAAAAATTAAATTTATTGATCCAAAAATTAATGCATATAATATAGTTCATTGATTGATAAATATTTCTAATATTCTTTCAACTTTTAATATTAATTTTCTTAATGGGTCATATTTTAAGGGGTTATATACCCTTAATAGGCCGAAAAAAGTGAATCATTCCGATTTTTTTCTGAGAAAACTATTAAATTTATTGATCCAAAAATTTATACTTGATATAGAATATTGATTCATAAATATTTCCAATATGAATGAATATTCATATTGGAAAATATGCTTATTCTTTCTTATATAAAAATCTATAAAAATATGCTTTTAACTTATTTAAATTTTAAATTAAAGATATTTTTATATGTAGTTAGACGACCGAAAAATATGAATTAATATCGATTTTTAATATAAAATTTCTAAAGGGGTTATATCTTAAGGGATTATATAAAGTTAGAAGGCCAAAAAAGATGTATTTTTTAGATTTTTTTCTGAGAAAACTAATAAATTTATTGATCCAAAAATTTATACACATAATATAGTATATTGGTTGATAAATATTTCCAATTTGGATGAATATTCTTTCAACTTTCAATATTAAATTTTTTAAAGGGTTATATACAGTTAGGCCGAGAAAGGTGTATTTTTCTGTTTTTTTTTTCTAAGAAAAAATTGAAAATATTCATTCATATTGGAAATATTTATCAATATACTATATTATGAGTTTAAATTTTTGGATCAATAAATTTAATTTATATTTGTATATATGTATTCTGAAATACATTTAATAATGTTAAAATATAATAATGCAAATATATATTTTGAATTTTGATTATAGTATTTCTTTATAACTATTGTTATAAAAGTTAGTAACTTATTATTATTAGAATTATCCTATTTGTTGTTCGCTAAGTTATATCTAAAAAACATTTTTAAAATTTAAAATTTTTTTTTTATGCTAATTCCAAACGAAACTTTGATTGAATTGCGCACTATCTAAAAGTTAATATTAAGAGCTAAAACTTTTAGAGATTTTCTTTTATAAATTTGGAAGCATTTGAGCCCCTGGGAGCAAGAAAATTCGAAAATGTATATATTAAGGTTCGCCCTAATATATATATATATATAAATATATATATATATATATATAATTATTTTCCCATTTAATCTTTCATTTCAACCCTCATTAAAAAATCATTTTAGTCTTCGTCTTGAAGTAATAAGTCAGCCTGTATTTAAGGAGGCATTCCATTGTATATTTATACATTGTACATGTATATTTAATATTTCAACTCGGTTTCATACAAACTTCAATATTATATATCTTATCACTTATTTTAGTTTAACATTTACAATATTTTTGAGTTTTATGGTACTATTTACTTAGAAGAGATAGGTAATTTATCTTCGTGACATCACATTCATAGTCATACGAGGTTTCCTAATCGGGACAACTATGATTAGAAATTTATTGCTCGTTCTAATAATCATTTTATGATTTTGTTGAATTCCAGAAAATGCCCTAAAAGTAATTTTAATAATCTTATCACGTATTTAGATATATTTTTGTTTTAAGGGGGTCTTCCTATGTGATGAGTTGAAAAAATTGAATTTTTTTTTATTTCATATTTCAGTAGATTATACCTTTAAAAATAACATATTAAAATTTCAAATCGATATCTCAAATAGTTTTTGAGTTACAGTCATTCAAAAAGTATACATATAGTATATAGTACAACGATCATTTTATCTTTAAACGCGTTTTTCTCAAAACTGTGTTTTTCAAACTTGTCTCCATTGTATCTCAGAAACGGCTGGACCGAATTACTTGAAATTTACAGGGCACGTTCAATATATTTAAGCGCATGGAATGATCTATTATCAATCAAAATTTCAAAACTTCGATTTTTTATAGCAAAAAAACTAAAAAAAAAAACGCCTAATTTGCAACTTTTATTTCAAATGTCTATAAAACATCCAATTTTTTTTGTATTCATTTGATTGTAGATCATTCCGTGCTTTTAAGCCTACAAATTAAAACGCCGTTTATTTTTTTTTGGTCAGATAAGCCGATCAGCCGGAATCGTGGAGACAGTGGGAGCTCTTTTTTTTGAGGGGGGGGTGTTTAGAGCGCTGTAACTCTAGTTGGACTAAATTTTTTTAGCTGAAATTTTATATTTATACTGTACAAATATGTATTAATAAATGATAAAAAACTTGAAGCTCTAACTATTTACTGGTCGTAGAAAAAAAATTCTAAAATATCCCTAAAAAACAGGCCGTCACATAGGAAGACCCCCTTAACTACAGATATTCGTTCAAAACTTAAATAAATTGTAGATGTAAATGTGGATCAAAATTTAGTGTTGAAAACTAGTCTGGAAAACACAATATATCTGTTTTTTTCTTATTATCAGTTGTGATATATACATGTTCCTGGTACCATTTTCATGACTACAAATACTTTATCATATTAAAATATTGAAACTTTAGATAAAAACTTTTTTAGACATGTATGTATTTGCTCAATATATATTATTTCCAAAAGGTTATTTCTGATTTGAAGAAATGCATAAGATTTTTTATTCTTTAAATAAATTGTCTAAATTATTTAAATTCCGATTTTTTTAAATTTTACGGTTTATATTAATATCTATGTCAGTGATCTCCAACCTTTTTTGCACCGCGCCCCCTGCTCTAATGAAAAAGGTTGTTGCGCCCGCCTTAATTTTTTCAACAATAGAATTTTGATTTTCAACTGATTTTATAAATAAAAACTGATTGTTTATTGTTTATTTTTTAATAGTATTACAAAAGTTTTGGGTTATTTTCCAAAATTGTATTCTGGAAACAGATGATACGCGCCCT